CTCCACTTTCCAGCAGATTAATGATTGTTTCATACAATTCCCTTGTGATGCTATTTACAGAAGAGACAAAGTTTTTGCAGTTTCAGCAGGAAATGTGAGTCTCTGGTCAAGGTCTGGAGGCATCTTTCATTCCTGCTCTCCATGCAGCAGGTTTGTTTGGTAAAAGCTTGTTGTTTGCTTGACTCCCTCTTTGATAAATGATGTCAACTGTGCTGTTTACTGAGAGGCATCACAAAGCCTCATGAATTTATTCTTACACTGAAGTTTTTAAAAACCTGGTTGCATTTTTGGCCATGCTGTTATTGTTCATTTATATATTTTTACAAAAAACCAGTGAGTCCCAAACCATCCGGCTAATATTACCCATGAAAATATATATTTAAAAGAGGAGATTTTTGAGCATGAATGACACAAAAATAAAAAATGATAAATAAAAATAGTGGTGCTAACAGTAATGTAAAAAGCAAAATGTATATGATCATATGAACTAAAGGTTGAGGGGGAAGCACTGTTATGCTACCTACTTTCAGAGCGTATTATAAGTACTTTAATCAGGATATAGCTATACATAAAAACAGCACAAAATTCCTGGCGCGAGGGATTCTTATGTTTTCAGTTGGAGAGATCAGAGGCAGGTGCTAATAACTAAAACTGGTGTGTTGTGATGAAGATGTGGCAGTAAAACAGGATTAGACTTAATGTATGTAAGATTAAAAGCACAATGTGATATTAAGCATTAGCCCTTGAAAACAAATTCCAAACATGCAAAACATGTCATTGTCAGTCACATTTTCAAAAATGATTTGTCAACTTCCTGATTTTGAACATTTTCCCCATGGACAAAACACTGATGAAGGGCTTGTTTCTGTGAGAAGTCAGCAATTGCAGCAAATGAAAGAAATCTGAATCAAATTGGTAATAAATTATCTGTCTTAGGGGGAAAGGTGGGGCAATGGGTAGCACTTTGGCCTTCTAGTGAAAACATGCAGTTAGGTTAATTGAATAATCTAAATTCCCCTTAGGTGTGGTGTGTACCCAATTGATTCTGAGCAAATCCCCAGCTTTATTTTGCAGAAATGCAGTCACAAATGTTGAACTCAGGATGGTACATCTCTTCAGCCCAAACTGCCTTCCGCTACAATCAAAGCATCCAGAGCATGTTTTTGTGCATACTTCTCAGAGTTTTTTGCTCATTAGGCTCCTGGATAGTGTGACGGAGGTCCATCTCAATCACCGAGGTCCTGGCTCAAATCGCGGACACCTGGCAACCGCCATCACAGGAGGATCGGGAACAGCTGCGCCTCATCAGTGCGGCAGCATAAAAGAGAGAGAGAAAGCTGCCAGATTGAGCTTGATCTCCGAAGAGTGCAGCAGCTAACGCCTCTCTCTCTCTCTCTTCACCCAGACAGGCCATGAACGCCAAGAGTCGGCATCGCCCACAGCCCCGATCCTCCTACACACAGGACACATGAGCACCGTTGGGTTTTGGAAGAGCACGAAGAGGGAACCCACGAGCACTGTTGGGTTTTGGAAGAGCACGAAGACGGAGAAGGACACGAGCACGGGCCTATGTACTCTGCATTTTTCAGATGCGCCTTGTCATGCCACGCTCTTTTAAAGCATGACAGAGCCAGCAGAGAGGGAGAAGAGCCACTTACCCAGTATGCGCCGACAACAGCAGAGCAGCAGGAGGCAAGGGAGCCACCCCACCCACCAGCTACCTACAGCTTACAGCGTCGCAGGACCCGCCGATGGGAACCAAGGGAGCGTCCTGGGCATTGGACCACCCACATTCTAATATAGGGTCGATGCAGTGGAGACAGACCCTTTTAGCTCGGAGTGCAGGGATCACAAATAGAGCCAGATGCTGTGATCCTGCACCTCCAGCCTTAGAATCAAGACGCCACCTGACTAATCGGAGTGAGGGCACCTGGGAGACTCACTGACGCGAATCACTCTTCTTTTTCATTATTTATTCAGGTTCACCTTGTTTAATAAAATGCCTGTGTGAGAGACCGATATATAGGCAATTATTTTAGATTAGGAACCTGTAAAAGAATTGTTATGTGTATAAAGCTCGTAGAAGAAATAACTTTTCTTTATTTTATAGTATTATTGTAAATCTTGATGGCGAAAAAAGCAAGCATTAATTAATTATTTCTTTATCAGTGATCAAATCGCTCGCTGGTTTGAAGGATGCCAACACATCTGAGTGATTACATGTTTTATACAGTTTTCTTAAAATCCTGACCTTATTTTAAATGATCTTAAATTCTCTTAGCTTCAGGGACTCAATACTCATAACTTAATACTTTAGCTTTACGTCTGGAAATGAAGGCAGATTAGTAAATTCAATCAAGCAGAAGGTGATTATTTGTGAAGGATGTGAGCAGCTATAAATTGACATTTGAACTGTGAACATTTGGAATGCTATAATCGTATCTCAGAGCCGTCTTAGGCCTAAACACCATCATCCGGATGGAAGGGAGTGGAGGGAGGTCACTCACTCCAATGTTAAAAGTTAGTAGATGGAAAAATGTGACATAAATGGAAGTCCTTTCAGAAGTTCCGGCAACTCATTGTTACTTGCAACTTCTCTCTGCTGTGTCATCAGCCAAACTGTCTTGCATAATCTAGTTCCTCTCCTGCAAGTTTTGACCTTGACACACAGGTTTCGTTATTTACATGTCAATCCAACCTTGTAAGGAGAATGAGGCAAGGTAATAAGGTCTGAAGAACTGCTGCATGATGCTGTCTGAAAATATATAAAGTGCTGGTGAGTAGAATAAGCTGTTACACCCTAAAACACAGCCTGTATTGAAAATGATAATATTTTATGAACCATTTTTATCTAACAGCTTCATTTTGCGTTTGCAAAAACAACGCCTGGTTCCTTTATTCCAACCTATCCATTTGAAACGTAATTCACCCATCAATCCTAAGATTTTAGAATCATCAGTTTGCCTGAAACATGTTTTTTAATTGTGAGGAATTATTACAAAGAATTTGTAGGGGGAAACTTAGGCAGGTGTGAAAAATGCTTAGCATTTAGCAACGGAAGTACAAGACCTGTGATATGGCCTGTGTTTTTCAATGTTCTGGCACAAAAAAGCAATATAGTATTATAGGTTAATGGGATATGCAACTATTTTTAGTACAATTTGTACATTGTTTTTTACGGGTTTTTTGTTGTTTTTAATTAATTATTGTCTCAATACTTTTGATTTCTGTTATAAAGCATAAAAACTGTTTGTTCCATGTTTTAAACCCTTTTTTCACACCTGTCTAAAACTTTTGTTCTCTACTTTCTATATGTTACAAGTTGTGCGTAGAATCCAAGTCCAGAGTTCATCCACATTATCCAGGCATTTTATGATTCCACTAGGACCCTTACTCCAGAACAGTGTTAAGGCCCTGAATACAGTTGAGCTATTGGGAAAGGCCCTTTGGTTTAAGGTGGGGTTGTTTTGGTCAGTTTTAATGTAAACATTGGCTGCATAAAATTGCCTCCCCTGCCTGTTAGATATCTGTTAACAGGATTCTGTTAAACAGTTACCCAGTTTTCAGTTCGAAGGGGTCATACCTGTAAGTGTAGATGTAGGTTGTGAATGAAAATGCTGATCCTGAAGAATACAGAAGGTTGTGCATGAACTCTGTTATAGACAATAATTACACATACCTCATGACAAACAAGTTCAGCTTTGCTTGGTCTCAATGGTGTATTTTAAAGTAGGAGCTCTGTTACTTATAATTAGTTTTATATAAGTAAGTTAATACACTATTATTCATTCTTTCCTCTTCTGATCAGTTTTCTTCTTTCAGCGCGTTGGGTCTGCTGCTCTGCGGTTATGGTGTTTTAATAAATACATTACTTAACTCTAGTCTTATCAATGATATGGTCAGAAATGTCTCCACGGCATGTTTTTATGTTAATCATTTTTCGAGAAATAAACTCTGCAAAGGCTTTTCTCTTTGGAGAAGGAGCCAGTGTTTATCCCCCACCTGAATTTATCACGTTTCTTTTATGGCTACTGTGCACTTCCTCCCCAAAATGAATCGAGAACAGTGTCGTAATGTCTCTTTTAAAGGAGAGCTCAGGTTGGAATAATCCAATAGCAGGTAAATATAAATCAAACAAACAACTCAAACAAAACATATAAATGCTGAAATTAACTGCATACAAATTATTACAAAATATTAAATGAAACTCTAAACTCAAGTACAAATTAAACCATTCAATTAAACTCCTTTTGTTCCAATTTCCAGGTCCCACCATCTTCATGTCCCCTGCTGAAATGGCAAATGGTTCAGCCCAATCAAGGGAGCACGAAACACACCTGTTCGCAATAAACTATTTGAAGACTGTCTCTAGCTTCTCATCATTGACGTTTGCCTCTTTAATTTACTTTTAAAACTGATAAATTAATAAAATAGTGATGGACTAGGCTTAGCTCCATCACAAACAGGCTGTCCTAAATTATTCCATTATACAATTTCTGCATTTACATGTTATACATAGTTATACATAATGTTCATTTAATTTACATACCAAAACTAAAGCATTAAAGCATCTCATAACACACAACACATTGAATCTTGAGGATGGGCAACAGCAGCAGAACATCACAGGAAACTGAGGCTACAGTTCTCATGAGCTCACCAAAAGTAGACATTTGGAAAAACGTTGCTTGGTCTGAGGCGTCTTGATTTCTGCTGCAATATTCGGATGGTGGGCTCAGATTTTGGCATGAAATAATGGGACGCGTCTTGCTATAAGCAAATCATTCAGGCTGCTGATGTGGGTGTAATGCTGTAGTGGATATTTCTTAGCAAACTTTGGGCTTTATGGAACCATCTGACAGTCTACCTGAGTATTGTTGCTGAACAATACTCAGGAAGAGAGTGTTTTTTTATTTTTTCTATAATGAAACGGTTCAAAATACAATAACAAACAATACTGATATTGAATCAAATGGCAGGATCCAGAATAGATCTGTGTGGCAGTCGTGGCCTAGTGGGTGATTGACTGGAGATCAAAAGGTCACTGGTTCGATCCCCAGCTCCACTAGGAGTCGAAGGTGGGATGAGTGTTGAAACTCTCTCCCTCCTGAGACAACCATGACTGTGGTGACCTTGAGCAAGTCACCAGTTACCACAGCTCCCCGGGCGCCGCAGCCATGGCTGCCCACTGCTCCCGGTGTGTGTTCACGGTGTGTTTATTGCTGTGTGTGTGCACTTGGATGGGTTAAATGCAGAGCACAAATTCCTTGTATGGGTCACTCCATACTTGGTCGTAACGTCACTTTCACTTCATTTCACTTCAAAAAAAACCCCTCACGTAGATATTAGACCGAAGCGCAGAGTTATCCACTGCCCGGTCAAGTGAGTCCACGCCCAGCGTTGTCACCTCCCTGTGACATTGGGACGTCTCCGCTGGATTTTGTTGACCGTGATCAGCTTTCCACTTCTTCAGTACCTCATTGTCTTTGTGTTGTGCTTTGTTTAATAGTGTTTTTGGGGGGAAAAAGACGCAACTGACTTTTATCACTGTCATGTTTTTTCGAAAATTTATTATGAACTTTTCAAATGTGAAAAAAAACCACTTCAGGTTTGGCACTACCTTTTTTTTAAATGCCACATTTTGAAACCACTCTCCTCATATCCCTCCCTTAATGACCCTGGTGTACCCATCTTCAGAAGCCTACGTCCAGCAGGGTAATGCACCATGTCATCAGGCGTGTGATCCCAGTATGGACTCCTGGAGTATCTCCTCACATTGGGTCAAAGGCAGGAAACACTGCGGATTGGACAGTTGTCAATATTTCATGCAATGAGCTCATGCAGCATCAACAGCCAATGGTTTATTTACAAACAGGACAACGGTCAACACTGATGTCACAACAACAGCAGCATTAGATCATAATTCTATCGTTTCTGTTGACGAGACTGTTCTTTAGACTACTGAACTTCCTCGTGACACGTTTGATGCACTCTCTCTCAGGCCGTTAAAGGGTGTAACTGATTCTCACCTGAGTGCTTCATAACATTCCCTGCAGAAATCACCTGAGCAGGTATGGGGTGGGGCTTAACCAACAGCAAGCCAATCAAATCAGGAGATCAGGTTTGTTTACATTCTCTCGGTGTGTGAAATTAAGAGAGGTGTGTTCGGACAGGCCCATTGCCGGCCCCCCGGCACGACTTGCTCAGAGTGTGTTGAGGAAGTGAGGGGTGTGTGGGTGTTATCACAGGCGCTGTTTGACTGCATGGATTCTTCTAGAGTGTGAGAGTTTTTAACTCTGTCATTCACGCCACGCTGTATCCTCCACAGGGCAGTTGCTGCAGACTTTCACCTCTCACATTAAAACTGGTTGCTTTAAAGAGAAAGCGTGTTACCTGAGGCGTGCAACTGAAAGTATTTCTATGTATGAGTAATTTCAACCCTTCCTCTTACAGTAATGCATCCGCATTGTGAAGTTTAAAAAAGTACATGAAAAATCTTGCCTTTTTCCCAATGTGCGCTAGAGATAGGCACCAGCTGACCCCCGTGTTCAGCTGGTCATGATATTAACCTCTCTTTTTTTAAAATTGTGTTTAAAATGTTTAAAATTTACTACAGTTGGACCACTATTGAGTAACAGAGATTGGTTGACTTTGTTTCTAAAACTTAAAGGAATATTACACTTTATTTGTAAATAGGTTCCCTCTCCAACTCTATTTTCAGGTGCTGTGTGATATTTTTACACCTGTTGCTCCCATGTTACAGCGACAAAGTTCCTTTATTTAGTAAGCTGTGATGAGAATACTTCCTAGACAATTGTATATCTTTATTTTGTCAATTTTAGAACATCATGAAACATAAGCTGCATTTACATCCACTTTTTAATGGGCATTTTGGAATATCACATAAAAACCCTGGATGGAAACGGCAAGATGCACATAAATTTTGAAAATATGCATAGAACTGAGTAGGATAAACGTAATGTGCATAAACTTTGATGGAAACGCATTTATTCCAAGTATTAAAGTAACACGTTCCCAATAGCAGTCTACCGCCTTCAAAAACAAGATGACTTGACTGCGCATTTTGCGTTTACATGTTCGAAGGACAGAAAAAGTCCTTCTCTTAATGCATCAACTTTCATTTTTCTTTTGATATCTCCCGCCAGCTTTTTAAGAAATGACTATTTTGTTCTCTTGGAAATATTTTTATACGATCTTCCAGTTTTGTGCATTAATTTAATGTATATCTTTGGATGGAAACATGGCTATAAAGTGTCTTGTTTTGGATAAAATATATTGATCAATTTAAACAGAATACTTTGGGTCTAATTAGATCTATACGAAATGTGCTAGTGCCAGACCCAAAGAACAGCTGCATAGATTCCATCAGGTTAAACACATCTTAACTCTAGGAGCGTTGGAAAAACAAGCAATTGTATTTTAATCATGACATATTTTATGTGAACTGAATCACCCAAATGTGTCTCAGTGTAGTTTAGACAAAGATACTTTGATGATATTCTGGAATTATTTTATGGTCAGTGTTTTGGAGTTCAGGTTGTTGTATTTCTAGGCTGTTGTATTGGAAATCCCCCATGTATTTAAAGATGTTGTTTCCGGATGCTTCTCTGTGGAATGTTTGCTAAGTCTAGACTTGTCTCACCATCACTTTTTTTAGGATTTCTCACATTTTGTCTGTACACAGGACAAAACACAAGACCATCTTCTCAGATTAAAAATGTGTCCAAACAGTTCAATTGGCTTCAGTTTTTCAAAAACAATACCATTTCCAACAATTTAGATTACTTTAACTTTGTCAGCAGAATGATTTTCATGCTAATTGAACTGATCAAAACCCTTGAAAATAGAAAATAGAGTTTAAATAATGATTTTCTTACATTTAAAGGCATGGTGTTTCCCCAGAATCAATTCATGAGGGTTTTGTTAATGCTGTAAAGTAGGAATGTAACAATATATTGAGGCACAACAAATCGCAGAACAAAATTGTCACAATACGTATTGTGGAGCTACTGGAAAATATAGTCTATTTGCTTCTTGGTGTGATTGTGATTCTAGTCACTTCTGAAACTTCTTTACCTTCTTTTCTTGTTTTATGTAATATTTACTAGAAGACAATTATCCTTTAATTACAATTTAAATGAGAAATATTATAAAATTAGTCACTTGATGACTTAACACTGCCCCTTAGTGGATGAATGGTTTCAAATGCTCTCAAACAAATCAAACTAGACCCTAGCATTCTTAGCTATCTGGTATTAAATTCCATTTTCTCCAATGATGGTTTCAACAGTTATAGTTATAGTTTAAAAATAGTTTTGTAAAATGTTGTGATGCATATTGTATCGAGGTATGCATAGTATCGTAAGCAGAGTGTATCGTTACACCACTACTGTTTACTGCACTTATTATCTGGTCTCTATGTAGATGCGTCACTATAATATCCTTTATATCCTTTAATGTCCTATTCAATCTGTGGGTTAATGGAAGCTTTATACTCGCCTCCTCTCATCTCGTTTTGTCTCGTCTCATCTTGTTCTGCACCGTGAAGACCAGTCCTGTTAGGAATCCATCTGTTTTCTCTTTGCATTCACAATAACGTACTATAAGAAGCTTTGCACCCTGCTGTGCTATAGCCTTTGGTTTGCTTGCCGTGAAGACATCTTCATCCTCTTTGATGTGAGATATATCTGTGGTCCTGCTCCACCATTGCATAGAAAGTTTTCTCAAAAACAAACATTATATCCAAACTTTTCATTTTCTGTCGGCCACTTCTGCCAAAACTTTAAACAATGCTGTGGGTATTCCAATATTTCGATCTTCATTCCACAATGCCACTTATATCTTTCCAGTTTGAAATAAACCTAAAAAAGAATCTGAGTCTACATATGGGTTCTTGGAATTGTTCTTGGAATTGGGTCACATTTAGTTGACAGAGTAAATGGGGCCAAGGGAGCCCTTCGTCTTGCTTCTAAACTCTGAATACCAGGTATTTTACAGTACGATGAAGAGAGCTACAACAAACAGCACGTGGTGTACCATCCAGTGGAAGAGTGCCATGAGTCTAGCGGGCACACAGCCATGATCTGGGCACTTGATCCATCTTGGGAACCTGATAATGACAGAAGTCAAGGGTGTGAAATGATAATTCACACCCTTGACTTCTGGCTATGGGAACGTGTTCCTCACATCTAGTAAAGGTCAATTATGTTAAGTGCAGAGCTCTAAAACATACTTTCCTGCAGTAATATTGGGGTCCCAGTGAAAATTAGTAAATTTATGTGCCTAAACACTGCAGAGGTTTACATAGCTGTCTCTATGGAATTAGAGAGTGGTGGATAGAGCTCTATGGTGCCTCAGGCTCATGCAGGGGTCTCCTTCACACTCTGTGTTATATATCACTCTATGACGCCTCTCCACTCTTCCACAGGTCTTTTATTGCTGGTGCTTCTAGAACTTTCTTTAAAAGTCTCAGAAGCATGCTGAGCAAGAGATGAAGTGAGCAAGAAGTTCATTACTCTTAAGTCTCCAGCTCAGCATGAATGCCACTTTCAGGTTTATGCAGAGAAAGACAGGCAACATTTTGGAGGGAAATATTATCAAATGTTTTCCATTAGAGACTTAGCCTGTCTCTAATTTAAAGATTAGAACATGGAACCAGCTTTTAAAATACAGGTGCTGAAAAAAGAAGGTTGGTGGGCTTCTAAAAGATTTAAGTTTCTAATTAACTATTCAGCAAATTTGCTTTACACCACTGAGTTAATTCTTATCAGTTATTTGGTGGCGACCTGTCCAGGGTGTACTTCCGCCTCTCGCCCCCCCCGCCCGATGAGAGCTGGAGATAAGCACTGGCAGATCCTGTGACCCCAAAAGGGAATAAGCAGGTTGGAAAATGAATAAATGAATGAAATTAATGAATAATTCGGTATAACATATTTGTTATAAATAATCAGCAAGTGATTTTAGATTATCCTCCCTGTGGCTGGCCTCATTTTAGAGGCCAATTTTATATCTGTACATGTCTAAATGTGCACTTTCAGCAGTGAAATGTA